TCCTCAGCTCCAGTTGACACAACAACATCAGACGATACGGCAGCTCCAGTAGATCCCACAGCCGCTGTTGATCCTTCAGTTGCACCGGTTGACCCAGTAGCTGCTCCAGCTGATCCAGCAGCAACTCCAGTAGGAGCTCCAGTAGATGCTCCCGCCGCTACTGACCCTGCAGCTGCTCCTGTTGATCCTGTAACTGGTCCAGTTGACCCTGCACTCGCTCCAGTTGATTCGACAACATCAGATGATGCGGCAGCTCCAGTAGATCCCACAGCCGCTGTTGATCCTTCAGTTGGACCGGTTGACTCAGCAGCTGCTTCAGCTGATCCAGCTGCAGCTCCAGTTGATTCAACAGCTGCTTCTCCAAGCTCCTCAGCTCCAGTTGACACAACAACATCAGACGATACGGCAGCTCCAGTAGATCCCACAGCCGCTGTTGATCCTTCAGTTGCACCGGTTGACCCAGTAGCTGCTCCAGCTGATCCAGCAGCAGCTCCAGTAGGAGCTCCAGTAGATGTTCCCGCCGCTACTGACCCTGCAGCTGCTCCTGTTGATCCTATTTCAGGTCCAGTTGACCCTGCACTTGCTCCAGTTGATTCAACAGCTGCATCTCCAAGCTCCTCAGCTCCAGTTGACACAACAACATCAGACGATGCTGCAGCTCCAGTAGATCCCACAGCCGCTGTTGATCCTTCAGTTGCACCGGTTGACCCAGTAGCTGCTCCAGCTGATCCAGCAGCAGCTCCAGTAGGAGCTCCAGTAGATGTTCCCGCCGCTACTGACCCTGCAGCTGCTCCTGTTGATCCTATTTCAGGTCCAGTTGACCCTGCACTTGCTCCAGTTGATTCAACAGCTGGATCTCCAAGCTCCTCAGCTCCAGTTGACACAACAACATCAGAGGATGCTGCAGCTCCAGTAGATCCCACAGCCGCTGTTGATCCTTCAGTTGCACCGGTTGACCCACTAGCTGCTCCAGCTGGTCCAGCAGCAGCTCCAGTAGGAGCTCCAGTAGATGCTGCCGCCGCTACTGATCCTGCAGCTGCTCCTGTTGATCCTGTTTCAGGTCCAGTTGACCCTGCGCTAGCTCCAGTTGATTCGACAGCATCTTCTCCAACCTCCTCAGCTCCAGTTGACACAACAACATCAGACGATACAGCAGCTCCAGTAGATCCCACAGCCGCTGTTGATCCTTCAGTTGCACCGGTTGACCCAGTAGCTGCTCCTACAGATCCAGCTACCGCCTCAGCAGATCCTACGGTTGCTACAGTGCCTGTTGCAACAGATCCAGCGGCTGCTCCAGCAGATCCTACATCCACTGTTGATGACTCAGCTGCTGCAGTCAATCCTGTTTCAGGTCCAGTTGACTCTGCACTCGCTCCAGTGGATTCGACAGCTGCTTCATCAGATGACTCCGCTGTGCCCGCAAACGTTGCTGCTTCAGCTGCAATTGATCCAGCAACTACTGGTGCTCCAGTTCCACCGAACTCAGTTTTTAGTTATCCAGGTGGTTCACGTGTACCAGCAGATATAGCACTTTCAATTCTTGCAGCGGCCGCACTTAAACCTATATTTGCTGCCAGACCACCACCATCAGGTTCATCTGGATTTTATGGTAGACCAAATCGTCCAAATACTGCATTTTCCTATCCGGTTCCAAGCAGACCGATTGTATTAGGAAATTCCAATAAACCAAGACTACCTTATTCAAATTATCCGATATATTCAAACGTGGCAGCTCGCCGGATTATAGATACACTTAATAATGCCAAACATATTCAGAAAATAAAGAATATGAGACCATATACTCCATTTAGGCCTAATAAAAACGCATACCCATATATTGGAGCAGGTCTTGCGCGTGGACGTGTCGACATGTCCTTACCACAATTACCATCTGTACCATTAGTCAAACCACCGCAGGGACCTATTAGCGTCAATAAAATTCCAACACAAAATCTCAATGAAGGCGATGATAGCGAACAAAGTGCGCAAAGTACGCAGAGTGCTCAGAGCGAACAGGATGTCCTCACACAAGAAACTCCAGTTTTAAGACCAGTACCTGAAAAACAGAAGCCAGCAACACCCACAGTTGTAACTGTTTTAAAAAAATTAATTGAAGAGACTAAAGCAAAGAAAGCCGATGAAAGCGAGAGTACGAATAATGAGGAAAGAAAAATTCAAGAAAATAAGAAAATTCTCAAGGAACTTGTAAGAAAACTGGATGGTCTACAATGTAAAGAAGATGATATCTACCCGGACTATAAAGATTGTAAATACTATTATAAGTGCATAGACAAATCTGACAAAAATGAATTTGAGCGTTTGCAGTGCGATGATGATGAACGTTTCGACAAAAACGAGATGAAGTGCGTTGACAAGAAAAAAGCCAAATGCTTAAAGCAAAATGAATTACTAGAAACTATTAAAAACCTAAAAAATTACATTGATGAATTGCAATCAGATTGAAACTAATTTGAATTAAAAATAGTTAAATTAGTCAGATAAATTAGATTTTTAATTACTTAATTTATTAAATTGGTTTTGATGTTGCCAACTGTATTAATTATAATCGATTTACTTAAATAATAAATTTACACGAAGTGTTCTTGACCAACATTTTTTATTCTCGATAGTAATATGTTCTAATTTTATGTATAGTATTTGGTTAGTTTTTTTAAAATTTATTAGCTTTAATGATGCAAATTATCTCTATTATTTAATTTTAACAATTTTATGAAACTATATAACAATTTTTTATTTTTCAAATAAATTGAATTTAACCAATCAACTAAATTGAGATTAATACTAATATTATATTTTTTTATAACATGATAGATGAAGGATACTTTTCATTTAACCGAAATAAGTAGTCAAATATAATGTCGATCCTTTTCACTTAACATTTTTAATTTAAATCTTCTTGAGTTTGTTTTATTACTACCTGAACATAGGAATGATCAAAATATAACATATAAGAGTATTTAGTTGAATTAAAGGCTTTACATATTGTCTAACATATTCTAACATTAAGCCCATATATAACCATCTGGATCTGGAGAATTATTTTACTGATCTAAAACATATCTAGAATACCTGTGATATCATCTGCGTGATCTGTAGAAAATTACTTACCGTCCTATGAGAAGGTGACCCTTAAAAACCAATATAGTTTTGAGATTTATATTTAAATCAACTCTAATCTGCTAATCTGGTTCCTCTTGATCTAAATTGACAAGATATAAGGTACAGAGTGCTAT